CCCCCTTGCGCGGAGTGAGAGTTCTCGACCCCGCACAACATGATCCACTCGACCACCATCATGGTTACCGCCCAAAAAAAAAACAGAGGTAAACAAAAAAAAATGATAAAACCCGGTTGCCGAGTTCACGAAGTGAATTGGCTTGCTTTACAACGTCGTTGTCAAGCGACGAAAACCCAATCCCGATGGCAAACACCGAGGGGGGGGGGGAAATTATGAGGCTTGGGAGAATCTTCAGGACTGGAATCTGACGCGTTACCATTGCGCCACAACCCGGCGGGGGGGGGCGCATGGCCTCTATTTTTCAGGGGGGGGTCGGGTACGGGTTGGGGGTCGGGTCTATGTGTACTGCATTCTCGAATTGTCCCCTCACTAAAACTACTGTGGGTTTGCAGTATACAGCTATCCTTACTCAACGCGTCTATGTGTCCGGCAATCTCCGATACAAATCAACCTGTGAGGTTTCAGTATGTGTCTTTCCTGACTCAAAGCGTCAATGTGTCCGGTACTATCCAACATCACTCAACTCGTGAGGTTTCAGTATGTAGCTATCCCCACTCAACGCGTCTATGTGTCTGGCAAACTCAAAAACCAATCCATCTGTGAGGTTTCAGTATGCAGCTATCCTCACTCAACACGTCTATGTGTCTGGCACTATCCAACATCATTCAACTCGTGAGGTTTCGGTATGTAGCTATCCCCACTCAGCGCGTCTATGAGTCCGGCATTCTCCAATACAAATCACCTGTGAGGTTTCAGTGTGTGTTTTTCCTCACTCAAAGCGTTATGTGTCCGGCACTATCCAACATCACTCAGCTCGTGAGGTCGCAAACGTCACTCAACCCGTTAGGTCTCAATATGCAGCTATCCTCACTCAACACGTCTATGTGTCTGGCACTATCCAACATCATTCAACTCGTGAGGTTTCGGTATGTAGCTATCCCCACTCAGCGCGTCTATGAGTCCGGCATTCTCCAATACAAATCACCTGTGAGGTTTCAGTGTGTGTTTTTCCTCACTCAAAGCGTTATGTGTCCGGCACTATCCAACATCACTCAGCTCGTGAGGTCGCAAACGTCACTCAACCCGTTAGGTCTCAATATGCAGCTATCCTCACTCAACACGTCTATGTGTCTGGCACTATCCAACATCATTCAACTCGTGAGGTTTCGGTATGTAGCTATCCCCACTCAGCGCGTCTATGAGTCCGGCATTCTCCAATACAAATCACCTGTGAGGTTTCAGTGTGTGTTTTTCCTCACTCAAAGCGTATGTGTCCGGCACTATCCAACATCACTCAGCTCGTGAGGTTTCAGTATATAGCTATCCCCACGCAGCGCGTCTTTGTGTTTGGCAAACTCAAAAACCAATCCATCTGTGAGGTTTCAGTATGTAGCTATCCTCACTCAATACGTCTATTTGTCCGGCAATCTCCAATGCAAATCACCTGTGAGGTTTTCAGTATGTGTCTTTCGTCACTCAACGCGTCCATGTGTCCGGCACTATCCAACATCACTCAACTCGTGAGGTTTCAGCATGTAGCTATCCCCACTCAGCGCTTCCATGTGTCTGGCAAATTCAAAAACCAATGCGTCTGTGAGGCTTCAGTAGGCAGCTATTCTCACTCAACACGTCTATTTGTCCGGCAATCTCCATCACAAATCACCTGTGAGGTTCAGTATGTGTCTATCCTCACTCAAAGCGTCTATGTGTCCGGCACTCCAACATCACTCAACCCGTGGGTTTTCAGTATGCAGCTATCACCACTCAACCCGTCCATGTGTCTGGCAATCTCAAACCTCACTCAACACGTCTATGTGTCCGGCAATGTCCTACATCACTCAACCTGTGAGGTTTCCGTAAACGGCTATCCTCACTCCACTCGTCCATGCGTCACGCGTCTTTGGTAGCGCATACTATGGGGGCTGTATTTGGGGTGGCGTGTTTTACAGCGCTTTACCAACAGCGCCATCCCACTTAAGTCTGGAACGGGGGGGATGCTCTTGCCTGGCCGCCCTTACGAGTATGCCACGCAGGTACCTTAGGGACGGGAGCGTGTGGTTTTATGGTAAGATTCTCGTCTTGCCACAAGTTGAGTATCCAATTGTTTCTCGATACAACGTGACCGTCCGGCTCGTAGTAACCCCCACCCCTCTGTCTAAAACGGAAACTCGTTTTCGCCTTTTTTTTGTCCGTCAGGCGAACGAGGCGGAACTCTTGCTGAGCATGATGGAGGACCCGGGGTCGTTCGCCGTGATCGTAATAAAGACGCTGAAGGGGTACTTCTTGCTCATGAAGGGAAAGGAGCAGGCGGTGCTGGACGCGGTTGCAATGCCGGTTGCTAAGGCGCTGGAGGCCGACCCTGCCGTCCTTAACTTCCCTCTCTGCTGGACAATGTGGGTGCACGCGTGTGTGTGTGTGTTTGTCTTTCGCGATGTGGCATCGGCCGGCAGCAGCTCTGTCGGGCTGACATGAAAGACTCCACAGCAGTCTTGTGCGGGGACGGAAACTTCACGAAGATGTTTTCATGTCAGCTCTTTGGCGGACCCGCTCACGGGCTTTGTGTGCCGTGGGCCGGTCTCGCCCAGCATCGTCGCTCTTTACTTTGTTCGCACTCCGACGTGTCAACACATCAACACGACACCTAGAGGTAGCACTTGCCAGTGTGTTTTCTCCTCGCCTCTCATCTGTCGCTCGGTGTCCCATCCATACCAGCAGTTTGTTCTCGCCTTTCCTCGTGCTCATGCTTGATACGGTACTAATTAACCGGCAGTTGCCAGCCCGTAAGTTGTGTTTTCTCCTTCGATCCCCATCGGTTACTGGGTGCCTCAACCATAACAGTATTTTCGCTTCTTCGCGTGCTCATGCTTGTTGACAAAAAAAAAATGCGGCGCGGCAGGTGCCAGTGCGTAAGCTCCTTCCTGCGGCGCAAGGGCTGCCACAGCGTCGCCGCGAGCATGGACGCCATCATGCAGCCCCTGCGCCTGACTCTCGCGTACGCGAACGCCTGCTGCGGCGTGGCCCTCAACGTGGTCGGCGTCTACGCCGGCAAGGGGATAACCGTCACCCCCGTCAACGGCCTCTTCCCGCCGGGCACCGGCCCTGCCCCCGTAGACATCCCGATTACCTCTGTCGGCGGCGGCGGCGGCGGTAGCGGCGGGTTCTCGGCTCCTCGGACGTCCGTCTCCTCCGTCCCGGACGAAGGAGAACGCTTGCGGTACCACCGCGACGGCGGCGGCGGCGGCGGCGACGCAGCTGGGCGGCGAACGCCGGCGACGGCGACGGCGCCCGTGTCAGCGGCGGCAGCGGCAGCGGCAGCGGCAGCGGCGGTGGCTGCTTGCGAGGCGGCCGCGCAGCAGCAGTCGCACGCCTCTGCCGCTTCCTGCTCCTCGGCGACGATGCGCCACTCGGACTTGTACCACCAGCAGCATCACCAGTGTCAGCACCAGAGGCAACAACAGCAGCACCTTGGTGGTTCGGCCGAGAGCGAAATGAGCGCGAAGCGTTATGGCGGGGCGGGGGCGGCGGCAAGAGGAGGAGGGGGGCCCGCCGCTTGGTCAACGAGCGTGGCCAGGCCGAAAAGGGGCGGCGGCGAGCCTGGCGGTGGCATCGGCGGCGGAGGGAGAACGCCGCAGGGTTTCGCCGCCGGCGAAGGAGTGGCCAGCAACAACGAGGGCGGCGGCGGCGGTGGCGGTGGCGGCAGCAGCAGCATGCACACAACCTTGTACGACATACCGTTCCCCGCCACCGCCCCCGCGGAGGCGGCCTCGATGGCGAGCGTGGCCTCCATTGGACTCGAGGGCGGCGCCTCCCTGTCTCACCACGCCCTGTCGTTCGACCTAGACGGAGCGGGGCCCGACGGGTTCTTCCACCTCGGCTCCAAGACGGACCTCGCCGTGGCGGCGACGGCGGCGACGGCGGAGCAACAGCCAGGGGAAGGCGGGGGCAAGGACAAGTCGACGGTATGAGCTTGGGGCCGGGGCTCGCGCTCTTGCAGGGGGGGGAGGGGGGGTTGATCCACTCTGCCGCGGCGGCAGCGCGAATGGCGCCGCCTCGTGAGGGGAAGCGTCGTTGAGTGCATGCGGAGAGAGATCTGCCCGCACCGGGAAACGAGTGTGAGTGTTGCTGATGGACAACTCAAACCTCCCACTCTCTCTCTGGGGCGCGGGTGGGAGGAGAGACCCGCGCGCACGCGTCGCGACGCAAGGAGGGCCTGTGGAGTTCATGCAGGAACTAGCTGCTGCCTCCCCCCCCTCGCCTGTTGCTTGGCATGTGCTGATGGAAATTTTGCTTGTATAGGGCTTAGTAGTGAAACCTACATACTGTCTAATCAAATAGACCACCCGTCTACCCCACTCACGACTACGGCCTTGCCGAGTATTGGAGCAGCATTGCATCTAGGTGGCCCCCTTGCCCCAACAAGAGCGAGGGCTTCGTAGCGGCACCGCGCACGGACTGGCTGTGGTGGTATATGCAGGCTGTCTTTGATGCCGTGCTGCGGCCTGGCCTGTCTGGCAAAGGGCGATCGAAGCGAGCAGCGTTGTGTGTGTGCCGTCGTCTGTCAAGCGATACTAGGTGTTGAAGGTTCGAGGGCGGGGTATCGCGTGGGTTACAAGGTTACAGGAGGGGTTGACGGGGGCTTTGGCCTTCTAGATAGTGTTCAACGTTTGTGTTCAACGGTTGTGTGTACGGAGTGAGAATGCGGCGGTTTGCTCGGTTCGATGGTCAGCCACGTGGTGCGGCCGTGTTTGTTGCGAATGGGGATACATAGTTTGCTGCTTGGGTGTGTACGTTTTTTTTGTTTTTTTCCTCGTACGAAAGTAGTCTAATCCATGCATGTTAGTTTTGTGGCCCCGCTGATCCGAGGGACGTGCGGCAAGTTTGCGGTGTATTGTGTTGTGTCTTGTTGCGTGAAACCAACCGCGCTTTTCTGTCAGAAACAAGTTGTCGTGTCGGGGTACAAGTACTCTTATCGTGCTACTGCGGTAAGCAGTGTGTGTCGTGCTGTGGCTTTAGAAGTGTGGGAGCTGATGGTGTTGCGTACGTACGTCATGATTGTAGTCGTCCTTAAAGATTGTAATTTTCGTTGTTGAAGGTGTTTTTTACTTTGGGTTATGATTTGTTCGAGGCATCATCCTCCCTTTGCAGTGGCGGCCATCTCGTTCAGGGAAGGGCCGTCTCTGTGGTACATGGGATGTTCCCGGCATGCTGCAACAGCGGGCGTGGGTGATGCACGGTTGAGCCTTCGCTCAGCGTGTGCTCTACACTTGAGGGTTACACGGCTTTAGAGCGCAAGAACGGTGTTATTGGGAGAAGTGACACCGACGTAAGACACAGCGGTACACCCGGCATTTAACAGCTTGCGCTGGGTTTGCTCGTTAGAGAGGTCGGCGCGGTGTGTAAATACATGCGGTGATTGTATGGATATCGTGATGTATCCCGAGCTTAACTGTACGTTATGTCCTGTGTGGTTTTTGGCTAACAGTAATGTCTTGACTTGCGCCCAAGTTACCTCATGTGCACGGGTGTGCCAGCATTTTGACCGAGCAAGTTAATCATCATGTCTCGAGTTGTTGCGGACGGCAGGGTGCACTTTGGATCATCTCGATCGATGCCCTCACCCCAATCTGTATGCACCACTCTGTGCATGTCTCGCGAAGAGAATCTCGGCGCTGTCTGTCGTGAAAGAACCACTTCCGCGTCGTGGCGAGACTCCAGCCTCCGAGAAACGCGAAAAAGTGCACGGTATCAGGCACGCATGATACGCGAGGAAGGAGACCATAGAGTAGCAGGAGGCGTGTTCGCGGTTGAGATGCGGCAACTGCTGGAACATACGAAGTATGTTCGTTCATCTGCCCCGTTTGCGCGGCCAATGATACAGTTCTACATACAAGAACACGACGACCCGAGAGAGTGCCTCGTCAGAGAAACCATCGCGTTATGAACACTATGACCTCACTTACTGGTGCACGTCCATTGCCCCCCTCCCCCCCCTCTCCATGAGGCCCCATCACACTATCGTTACACATTCAGCACGCGGACCCCAAAAACAGGGGGCGGGCGGAAAACCACTGTTACTACAGGGTGCACGAGAACAGTCGTCCTCGGGCCACCGCCTTGCATGTATCCGCTTGAAGATACAGGACACCAGGCAGCGGTAAAGTTGTCGAGCGTCTTGACTGCCCCAACCACAAAAAAAAAACACGGAAAAAAAAAATGTGTCAACACAACAACCACATCGTGCATGCAAATCCTCAGACACCAAAACGACTTGATGGTACACGGTACGTATACAACGGGGGCGGTGTCGACGCCCACCTTCGACGGCTCAGCCTTCCTTCGTTGCAGATCAAATGAAATGTAGGGTATACTTTGGAAAAATACAAAATACACTTTTCGCCACGGATGACAGAGCAGTGACAGCAGTTGGATTGGGCTGGCACGCCGTTTTACACCCAACGGAAGTCAGAAGGTCTTCACAAGGGAATAAGCCAGAGTAGTATCGCATCGCGTGGTCGCGCGGCCCCGGCCGCCGGGAACTTGGCGTGCCGACCAGCAGCACTATGATAGCGTCGACGCCCCGTGTGTTAACCAGGATCTAACGGGGAAGAGTGGAAGACAAGGCAGGCTGCTTTGCTGCCGCACTTTTTCCACGTGTGTACGTTCTAAAGCCCTTTTCCTAACCATTCTGCCATACAGTCAGGGCGGCGTGGCACTCAAGTTTCGACGGAAAAAATAAACGCCGTGTTGACCGAAATCGGCAGAAAAAAAAATACCCCTTCGCGAAACCTTCATCGCACTCGCTCCGCTCTCTTCTCCGTCCCCCCTCCCCACAGGTTTGCACAAGGACAGGTCTCCGTTGCAGCGACTAAGAGCAACGGCGCCCGAACGGTTTGTGAGATGACCTTGGAGGCAATCCCATAAGAAAGTGTAGGGCTAGGCTGGGGGCTAGGCGTGGGTCCGAAGTCCTTCAAGAAGACACCTCCTGTTGCCCTTCTCCCCTCCCCCGCCCAATCAAGGTGGCCGCCGCCTGCTTCCGCTTCCGTGATAATGTGCTACTTCTTGCGCTGGGGAGCAGCAAAGCAAGTGTTTCAACACACACACAGCGAGCGGCAAGCGGCCGAGCCAAAAGAATTAACACCCGTGTGTGTAGTTCATTCCGAACTACCCTGGACTCGTGCCCCGTTGTCCCCAACCCACCCGCGTCAGCAGCAGTAACCCGCGTGACGCGTCACGTGCGAGCACGCACCGCCGCAAACCACCTTCTTCTTTTTTCGAGGGCTACAACTGGCGGAGGCGCCGCGGGCAACAGCACCGCCGCATTTGCAGTAGTCCGGGCGGTGGCCCTTCGAGACGTGATCGGAGGGAGTGCTGGCGAACTCGTCCGCCGACATGCACACCACCAGGCCGTCGGAGGTGGTGTACATCACCCTCCGGAATCTCCACAGGTGCTTGCTCAGGAACAGCCAACACCGCCGGCAGGGCCTCGAGATCCTCAAGGAGTCGAACGTGAAACGCACGTTGACGAGGTCGAAGCCCTCCGAGCGGTGAGCGCCTCCCCGCCCCCTGCCACCCGTCCGCCCCGCTTTGTCGTAGCAGCTGAAGAGGGCCCGGAGCGCGGCGACCTCGCTGTGCACGCTGGCCCGAGGACCCGCGGAGAAGCTGTTGAACCCCCAGGCGACGACCTCGCCCGACCTGGCGATGATCGTGAGGTGGTTGTATCCCGCCCCGCGAGCCTTAGTCTTGCTGTTGCCCTTCTTCTGCTTCTTCTTGTCGCGGGGATAATCCGTGTAAGGGTTGTTGTTTGCCGCATCTTTCGCCCTGCCTTGCCCCCACCCGACGGAGGGCTATTGCCTGCCATTGTAGGACAACAAGTGGATGTGGACGCGGCGGAATTGTGAGGGAGAGAGAGAGAGAGAGAGAGAGAGAGAGCGCAATGATTGAGACAACAGGAGCAGCAGAGCTTTTCTTGGCTGGGGGTCTGATGTCGGAGCCATTTCGTGTGACCAATGTGGGCGGGGAGAGGGAGGTATCGATTTCATCACCAGTACACGGGGGATTCATTGTGCTTCGGCAACAAGGAGGGGCAATACTAAATATCAGGGTGGTGTATCATACCATGCCACGGATTGTACACCGGGACGGATGAACATCAGCGCACCCCGGCCCCCACGGAGGCCTGTTATTGTTGCTGCTTATGTTGTTGTCGTCGTTGTTTTCACGTCAAAAACAGACTATCCAGTACCTTCAACTCGTATATCCGTGCTGGTCCACGGGAGGCCGGTGCGGAAAAAAGAAAACACATGGAGCAAAGGTATGCCTCGCGCCAACCCTCACGAATGTGCTACTTGTAGGACCTCCGTGTGCTCCGTATCCGAGTTAGCCTTCGTCGCTATTGTCGGACATCACGATAGAGCAACCGGCGAAACGCAAATGCCATTAACAACGAAATCGCAGGTACTGTGGTTGGAAGAGGCACGCGAACATTTTCACCGTCCACTGCGAAGGACATCGTCGCTAGTAGGTGCTACCCGTAGAACCAGATTCTGACGAAAAAAAAGGAAAACGACACAACAGGGCATATACCCTGGTCGAAAAGCGACACACCTGGGTACACAGTCATTAACAGCAGTAAATGCACTCATATCATTGGTCAGAGCCCAATTTCACCCCGGTGCGTCCGAAAAGGCGCAGGGTATACCCTGCCGTGACTACTTTTCTCAACAACTGTACCCTTTTATCGAAAATGTACCCTGACCTGACGGGACATGAGACCCTTTTCATCAATCATTCCCCCCGCAGGAATCTTCCTAGCTCCTTTTCCCCCCCAACCATGGGATACCAAACGGCGAACCTTCCCGCCCAATAACAACCATGGCAACGGGGCAGGAACAAGAGTGTGTCTTATCGGCAGAATCGAAGCTAAAAGTCAGAATCGAGTTTCAGTTCAAGACTAGAAAGAACCAGAGTCCATCTGCTCTGATTGATTGGAATGCGTCCGTTCGGGTCGAGCGAACGGATCTTCCTGTTCTTAAACTTGATCTCGAAAAAATGGCCAGAGAATTAATTTGGAGTCGACTTTTGCCAAACGCAACCAACTTCGGGTGGACGTTGGGCTGTTGGGGGCGTGCTGCGGCGGTTGACGTTTTTCCGCGCCCACGTGCGCGCGGATTGCACACGCTACGCCACGCAGTACAATCCCCCCCCTCGGCCTGCTCCCCGGCCGGGGCCGAAATCGACCTAGTGAGTCCCTCGCGGGCGAACCAGGCCACAACAGATAGTAGGCGGGTGATGTCCCAAGGTGCAACTCACCGCCGCGCTGGCTCAGCGTGGCGGTGAGGATGCACAGACGGTGGTAGTGGCGAGAGGTGTGTATGGACACTG